TTCAGGTATTCTACAGTGATACCAACATCTTCAGGGCGCTGGAAGACACCAAGCTGCTCTAGGTGGTCGAACTTCTCTTGGAGTTCTACGAGCTTATCATGGGCATATTGGGGGAGGCAGCCTTTCCGCTGTAGGGGCTCGACAGGGCCCATGTTGACCTTTGCTTGGTAAGGACCTGCGGATCCATTGTAACCTGGGAACTGAGGGTCAAATACGGAGTCGTACTCACTGAGCAGAGATTGGAAGTTGGCTCTGACAGCCTCAGGGAGAATGCGGTCTGGGTCTACCTGGACGTATGCAGAGTGGCTAGCATGAGAGAGTGGTAACGGATGCTGAGTAGGAGGCTGACTTGTCGGTGACTCCTCTTTTGGTTCGAAGACAGGGGTGACCTGGCAGAAGTGTTCGTGACGCTTAAGCGTTCGAGGTTCGGTTGACAGGTTTGGTATGCGGATACAAAACTGATGGTTCCCGTTAAGCCAAACAAACTTCGATACAAGGAAATATGAACCTGGTGTGTCAAATATGAACCTAGTATATGGCCTCGCTCTCCATGAGTTCTCCGTAGCTCAAGTGGATAGAGCGCCCGCCGGTGTTTGGTTGTCGAATCCTGTCGGGGATTCAGATTTTTTCCTTGTCCCACGCTCATGACATGCTGATTATTTCATTTTCACATTTTCACAGGAAAAACAAGTTTCGAGCTCATACAAGTGTCTGGGAAAATCTTTACTACAATAATATTATATTTAGATCAAATTGACTAGTAACACCAGCCACCATGAAGGTACCTGACTGTAATTAAATTCTTGGATAGACATTTATAGGAGAAAAAGGAAGGGGTGACTATTAACGTCCTCTCATCATGCTATTCTCTTTCAGATTGGAGGCCAATTCCAAAATTGCTAATCAATATGCCTTGATCGTAAACAACGCCTATGTACTTCCCACAAGAAAGGACGTTATCGATCATCGCGTGGTTATAGCCACTTTAGCCACCTCAAAACACCTTCACGAGCTGGAGCTATACCATGGCTTTTTCACCCACATCTTCATAGACGAAGCTGCTCAAGCTTTGGAGCCCGAGGCATTAACACCACTGGCCTTGGCAGGACCCAACACGCTCGTTGTTTTAACAGGGGATCATATGCAGGTAAAATGTGAGCCTAAATCAAGGTGGGCTGTAACAAGTGTGTTACAGAGAATAATATAACTGTGATTTTTTTTCCAAGGAATATGGACCAAACATAAATCTCTTAATCCGAAATCGGTAGATCACCTAGGTCCAATGTCTCTTAATCTGTCTCACACTGTATCCTATTAAAGTTCTTTTAGTCACCACTTAATTACAACTTGTATCAAACCGAGGTGTCAAGGGCATCAAGGTCTAGGCATGATGTGGTACTTTTGTGTTGCCTTGCGGTACTTTTACCGTTATGTTATGTGTAACCTTAGTGTTTTAGCCACTTCATTGGTGACGGTTTGGAGAGCTAAAAGAACGTTACACTGGCTGCAAATTTTTTTTGCTTAGTTTAACTGTAAGTAAAGTGTAATACGGACATCGCTATACCTGACATGATGAAATATCGAGAAACTAGGAAACCGGAGAAATCTAAATCAACCGCTGATGAGAAAATAAGTGAAAATTTATTTGTTTATTTACTGTTTTAATTTTTCATTTGAACTTTTGAATTTTATATCATAATTTTTACTTTCCCATTACTACTTTGTCTATATGTATGCCACAAAAACAGCCAAACACGCTCAATAACAATTTTTCTAACACCCTGGTTTAAAATTATTCTGCTGACAATTAATACTTTATTATGACGGAATTGTAACCGTCTTGATGAGTGTCGGGAAGGCCGTGACGCTTCTTCTATTGTGTTTTATATAGATGAGGCCAGAGGTCTACTCACATTTTGCACGTGACTGGGGCTTACAACGATCGCTCCCAGAGAGGCTTTTCGATTCTTACTGCCAAACGGAAACGGAGATGAATTCCAATGTGATGTTTCTGACAAAAAATTACCGTTGTCATCCAGAAATCCTTCGATTTCCTTCAGACAACTTCTATGGGGGTGGGGGAGAACAAGGCAAAGGGCTTATTGCCTGTAGTAAAGACACGGCACATCCACAATTAGGGCCACTCCTATTCTTCTCCGCCTATGGAATGGAGGAAGCACGAGAGAATTCCTACGTCAATGAAGCTGAAGCTGCTGAAGTTGTAAAGCGGGTCAAGGAGCTAGCTGCAGATTGGCCTGCGTGTTGGAAAGAAAGGGATCTTTCTGAGATTGGTGTCATAACCGCCTACATGGCTCAGGTAAAGCTAAATATTGCACGTAGAGTGTCATACCTAAATATTTTGTAGTTTCGAATTATTATTAATAAATACATTTCGTCATAAACATTTCACATTAATGATGGCCTAAGAAAAACGAAAATCTCGTTGTATCGCAATTAAAAAGAACATTTAATTGATTTAATAAATTTTAATTAAGAGAACATTTACTCCATAAATGACCATGACATCGGCAAGGAAATAAAATATGTGGAAAAGGAAAATTTTAAACGGCTGTAGATATGACGGGGTTTTTTGTCGATCAAACAATCAGAGCGTACGGATTTGTCTAAGACTGCTTTGCCATATAATAAGAATGAACATTAGATTGGGAAGCAAATAAGTTAAATATGTTAGTAGGTGTTAAGCTGTGAGATACACCATGAATGAGAATAGCAACGGATTTAAAGTAGAGTAGATCTTAACTAGATAGCTAGAGGAGACAGAATAAGGTACTGCGTGAGAATTGTAGTCACCGAAGAACATGAGGCGGAGGGCGCGTTTTTGAAGAATAAGAATTTTGTTTTTGTAAGTTTTAAGAGCTTGGCTCCAAGNAAGGGATCTTTCTGAGATTGGTGTCATAACCGCCTACATGGCTCAGGTAAAGCTAAATATTGCACGTAGAGTGTCATACCTAAATATTTTGTAGTTTCGAATTATTATTAATAAATACATTTCGTCATAAACATTTCACATTAATGATGGCCTAAGAAAAACGAAAATCTCGTTGTATCGCAATTAAAAAGAACATTTAATTGATTTAATAAATTTTAATTAAGAGAACATTTACTCCATAAATGACCATGACATCGGCAAGGAAATAAAATATGTGGAAAAGGAAAATTTTAAACGGCTGTAGATATGACGGGGTTTTTTGTCGATCAAACAATCAGAGCGTACGGATTTGTCTAAGACTGCTTTGCCATATAATAAGAATGAACATTAGATTGGGAAGCAAATAAGTTAAATATGTTAGTAGGTGTTAAGCTGTGAGATACACCATGAATGAGAGGAGCAACGGATTTAAAGTAGAGTAGATCTTAACTAGATAGCTAGAGGAGACAGAATAAGGTACTGCGTGAGAATTGTAGTCACCGAAGAACATGAGGCGGAGGGCGCGTTTTTGAAGAATAAGAATTTTGTTTTTGTAAGTTTTAAGAGCTTGGCTCCAAGGGACTATGTCATACAATAGGTAGAGCTATGTATATGTGGTGTAAACTATTCATGCGTACACGTACTCCATAATGATTCAATTTTCTTTAATAACGTTGAATGATTTACTGTGTCAAAGGCTTTTTGTAAGTCACTGAACATCCACGTGAGTACAACTTTCGATCCATGTTAAATTCAATTCTAAAATTAATAGCATGCTCAGTAGACGTTTTTTCACGAAAACGATATTGAGAATCATGGAGAATATTGCACCTCTCAATAAATGACTTCAGGCGATGATACATTATCTTTTCAAAGATAAGGTTAAAAAGAGAGAGAAGCAATATGAGTCTATAATTAGAGAGGTCAGATTCATCACCACTTTTATAAATTGGAATACTTTGGCAAGCTTTAATTTAGATAGATAGGTTCCAAATTCAATTGATTTATTGATGAGCATAGATAGAGGTTGCCTAACAATATGTTTAGCCAATGTTAAAATGCGAGTGGGAAATGAATACAGCCCGTGGGCCTTGTTTAGTTGAATAGTCAGAATCAATTTCAGAAGGAGATACAGGGTTAAAAAAGAATGAACTAGCAAAGTCTAACTTTGGTAGATAATCAGTAAATTGTTTTAGTAAATTTGGCAATTTGGAAGCCAGATTGTGCCCTATTGTACTTGTTCATTATGTCAGAAAACTCGAGGGATTTTGTGACACCAGATTTCTTGGCGGGCGTTTTAGAGAGATTATATCTTTGTGAGCTTTGTTTTTCTAGCCCTGAAAAGGCTGTTGATGCCCTCCTATATTTTTTTTGATATGGGCAAAAGTTTTCTTCAAAATATTTGTGAAAATCCATCTTTTTTGCTAATTCGCGTGAGCGTCAGCACTTGGTTCCAATAGAGTTTGTGAGTGGGCATGGTGTCGCCCGAACAATAAAGATCATTTTGATCGATTTCCTGATCCCCTTTGTTACCCCTTTTTCTTACGTTTCGATATCGACTGAAAAGTTGCGTGCTTATTGAGAAGTTTGTTTAGTTTATTGTAAAACACAATCCTTTTGCCCATGGCAAATCTTTTTTCGCGTGACAAATCTTTTTTTCTTGTGACAAAACTTTTAAGTCATGACAAAACGAGAGTCTGGGTTACTCTCTGTGGGGGTCTGGGTTCGTGCGTAAGGTAAGCGAGATGTTAAACAAGATGGCGTCTTGGACAAGATAATCTCCGCCACTTAGGAAGATAAGGCAAGAACCAAGGCACGACCAATTCGTGTAAGGCTTTAATCAAACTAGGATATAACTAGCGGCCGAGTAACAGTAACAATATGGCGGACGCGAGGCTACGAACAACAAATAACGCATGCTAACTCATAGTACCGCTGACCGGTACTGGCGTGACTTTTTTTTTCCTTTTTTTTTTTGACTATACATAGCGTGTAAGCGAGAAAACTAGAACCAAAAACATAGAGGAAAGTACTTAAAAGCACTACTTAAACTCTTAAACTGACTAAAACGTCACAGATCAGTAACAAAGGCAGTATCATAATCTTCAAAACGCGCAGGACGACGTCTAGTGCGAGATGATCTCCGCAGGCCAGGAGGGTCAGGGTCTGCTGAAACGACTGCCTTCTCCAAAGAGCGGTCCCCAGGGAAAGATGGCTGGGCAGCTGTGTCGTCCATGATGTGGTCGACAGGAACGGCGGGAGCAGGTGGTGGAACACAGGGAGGAGTGTTAGATAGACGCTGGGCTGAAGCAGAGATAACATCAGGGATGTCAGGCAGCGAGGGTGGCGGATGAGGTGTGGTATCAGGATCGTCTTCGTCATCTGAGTCATGGCCTCGACACTGGCGAGGAGCATGTAAGGGATCAGCCAAGTCGGAAGGGACCTTGAAGCACTCAGTAAGTTTGACGCGGTAAGATGAGCTGCGTAATTGGGATCCAATGAACTTTTTGATATCACAAAATGGTGGATCTATGGCTACAACAAGGTAGCGGTCACGGGCTCGAGACTTGTTCCGATCGGAATGAAGGTACACTAGGTCACCAACATCAATTACAGGAGTAGGACGCCTATTGTGCAATGGAGCTTTGCAGCGCTCACTGTGGGGGTGATTGGATAGACGCTGCTCGTGCTGGAGGGCAATTAAATGGTCGTCGGCAAGGGGTAACTGCTGGTTTGAGAACTGGTCCCGCTGTGTCCACATTTCTCGCGAGGATAGGCCACGTGAACGGATATGAGAGTTCAAGGCAGAAGTGGCTACGGCGAGAGTGAGGGGAGAAACGGCACCGCCTAAAGGCTCCTGGCGGAGAAGTTCCGTTTCCAACTCCTGGACTGCTCTCTCAGCTACGGGATTCTTGTTGGGATTTTTGGCCTGACCAAGCTCAATTATAATTCTATGCTTCTTTAAGAAAGGGTCGTTAACGAGAGCCTTAAGCCAGGGGCAGGGTCAGTACGGATCACGGCAGGTGGGCCATCCATAGCGCGCAATTCTAAGCAGAGCTTTACAATGGCGTCGCAAAACGTTTGCTGACGCTCGTCTTCAAGAGATACACTGGAAGTGTAAGAGGTCACAGTCTCACGAAGGACAAAGATGAGCTGGCGAGAACGTTTGATGACTTCCGCGGCGAAGGATCGACCAGTAGCGTCGGGTGGAGGGGAAGTGGACTGGTCAATACGTGCGGTTGGAGAGCTGCGGATTGCTGCACAGGAGTGGCACCCATCAGAGACACGAGAGACAGCCTTGTCCAGATCGAGGGCGTATAGATAGCGTTTGACGACCATTTTCAACTGGTGACAGGACGGGTGGTTGAGTTGTATGTGAAGGGTAGTCAAAAGGCCGTCCAAAGCTTGGCGTGGGACAATGATGCACTCTCTAGACGGTGACAAGGGTTCGTAACGCCGAACAACAAGGAGGCCATCATCTGCAACTGACGCAACTTGTAAATAACGTTTGACGTCCTTTATGTGTGTGAGCTTTTTGGACGGTCTCGTACCCTGGACGAGGTGAGCGTGGGTGCGGCGTAGATCTGGGCACTCAGACTGAACAGCCACCCAGGCAGGTCGGCTGCTATAGGAAAGGCGAACATTGCCTTGGAGGACATCTTGAACAGAAACGGCTCGGACAACAGAGTCCCTGGTTCGAGAAATGAAAGAGCACACCTGACAGGTCTCGTTTTCACAGGCGGCGGCGTTTCGGCTTGCGAAGTCTGACGTGAGGATAGCAGCACCGGAGACGTGCCTGACTGATGCTTGGTAACGACTCACGACAGACAAGAAGGTGCAGACGCGGGGGCTGGCAGAGAACTCCCCGCGGCAGAGCTTCTCATAGGCTTGAACCCAAGGCTTACTGTCAGTAAGAATGCAGGCCTTTTTGACGGACTGAATAAGATACGGGCTGAAGTGCTTAGTTGCAGCCGCAATGGAGAGGGCTTCGACCTCGCACAGAAGCCATGTTCTTTGGGAGCCCCGTAACTTGGCGCTGAAGAAGCCAGAGACACATAACTTATCTCCGCGCGTTACGTAGAGGGTGGCACCTATTCCAGGGTCCCGGACGGCTCCATCAGTTACAATCCATAACTGGTCCTCGGGTCTGGGTAATGTGATGGTAAGTGCAAGGAAAGAGCGTTCTAAGCACTACGGAATGCGGCCCTGAGATCATCGGTCCAGTTAATAGATTCCTGAGAAGAACGACCGGCTGTTACAACATCTAGAGGAGCGAGGTAACTTGTGCACCCTGGAATGACACGGGAAAGAAATTTGTAAGCGCCAATGAAGGATCTTAAGCGAGCAACAGTATTCGGCTCGGGGTACGTGGCGAGGGTGTTAAGACGGTGGGGTCTGGCAGAAAGGGAGCCAGCATTCCAGATCTAGCCGAGAATAGAGGTAGTCTTGGGACTGATGATGGTCTTGTGGGCAGACAAACGCAGGTTGCACTTGTGTAGGGCGTGTAGGACCCTCTTCCAGTTGTGGAGTAGCTCTCGGGGTGTGTTGCCGCCTCAGTACAGATCATCAGCGATTTTGGCAACGGATCCATCTTGTAGTAGTGGGCCTAGAACGCGGCACATAACCTCTTCAAGGGCAGTTTGCAATCCGGGCATACCCATAGCGGAACGAACGTAGACTAGTACTCCTTTAAACGGAGTGACAACGCCGCAATACTTCATGGACTCTTTAGCCAAAGGTATTTGCTAAAAGGCACTTGTCAGGTCTGTGACGGCGTAGGGTGGAGTCCACGTCAGGCAGCAAGGATGGTTGGGGTTTACTGTACCGGCCTACGTCGGCGAAGGCAGTGATGAGACGAGAACCGCCGTTCGGCTTTTTTACAAGGAAAGAAGGGTTCAGGTATTCTACAGTGATATCAACATCTTCAGGGCGCTGGAAGACACCAAGCTGCTCTAGGTAGTCGAACTTCTCTTGGAGTTCTACGAGCTTATCGTGGGCATATTGGGGGAGGCGGCCTTTCCGCTGTGGGGGCTCGACAGAGCCCATGTTGACCTTTGCTTCGTAAGGACCTGCGGATCCATTGTAACCTGGGAACTGAGGGTCAAATACGGAGTCGTACTCACTGAGCAGAGATTGAAAGTTGGCTCTGACAGCCTCAGGGAGAATGCGGTCTGGGTCTACCTGGACGTATGCAGAGTGGCTAGCATGAGAGGGTGGTAACGGATGCTGAGTAGGAGGCTGACTTGTCGGTGATTCCTCTTTTGGTTCGAAGACAGGGGTGACCTGGCAGAAGTGTTCGTGGCGCTTAAGCGTTCGAGGTTCGGTTGACAGGTTTGGTATGCGGATTGCCCGCACAACACTGGAAACGACAGCGGGTTGCGGCCACAGTTGAGAGGGCTAGAGATTACGTAAACTAGGAGCATCAGTGCGGGGTTCAAGTGCATACTCTGAATCAGGGGGAGCATTGTCTGGGAGCTGTACTTCCAAGAATTCTCCGGGCCAAACAGTCTTGGAGGGAGTAGGAGCACGGAGAAAAAAGGCTCTGCGGACGGTTGTGGGAGGGCTGGGAGGGGCCTGGGACCCGTATGTGTAGGTGGAGCCATTGCCAAGTAGCACCTGTCTCTTGGCGGGCCGCACGGCAACGTCGTTTGCCTCCATCAAAGGGGTCCCGGCAAGCACTTAGACGTCAAGATCCTCTACGACAAGTCCTTCGAATGTAAAGTCGGTGTTGTCGCGGGTGAAGGATGTCCGTATCTCTCCGACCACCTGAAGCTGAGAAGAGCCATCTGCCTGCTGGACGGACTGAGCACTTGATATAATTGGACATCCAAGATGTTTCGAGTTTCAGGACAGGGTGGATCAGGATCAAGGTCGTAGTTGGTGTCTTGTTCATCGTCCAGTATGCCGACGATCTGTCTCGCTTTTACCATGAAGCGCCTGTCATTGTCAGGGAGGAAGGTACACTGACTGAGGAAGTGGTTTGTGTTAGAGCGACCGGCTTGCTTGGATAAGGGACAGACCTTGTCCTGACGGGGCTGTCTGGTGCGGGTCTTAGGGTCACTCCTGCCGCCCGGACGGGGGCGACGAAAATCATCAGCTACCGCGGCACGTAGAATCTTAGCTTCATCTGAAGCGCAGATTTCCTCGAGGAGAGAGCTAAGTGCCTGAGAGATCGCGGGTTTAATTGAGGCAAGGGTGCGAGACCTCAACTCCGTGCCATACCGTTGCTTGACTAAACGAGGGAGACTGGGGTGAATGAGTCGCAACCAAGTAAGAACGACAAAGTTTTCTAGGGTAGGGGTTACTTCCTCATCCTCTGTAACATGTTCGCCATGGTGAGTTAGACCGTTAGCGCGTAGTAAGGAATCTTCCACAAAAGCCATGAGGCGTTGGTACAGATCCTCAGGGCGCTCATCCGCTGCGAGGTGTATGTCAGAAAAATCGATAAATTGGCCTGGAAGCCAAAGTGCTGGCGAATAGTTTGCCAGATGTATTCGAGTGACGTTGAATTTTTCACCAAAGTGCTTCGGGAAATGATAGGGCAGTAATTCGCAATCTGACCTAGCATCAGCTCGAGAAAGTTGACTTTTTGTCGAGCCGTGAGGCGTCGAGCAAGAGGTATGGAATCACCATCGGCTTCGAGTCCTCGAAGTGGTTGGGTTTTGGTCTTTTTCAACCATTGGACGCCATCGGTTAGGAAGGGAGCGAAGTTGCTGTCCAATGATAATGTGTAGAGCAGGTTTTGCTTCCAATTCTCGATGCTATTAATAGTTTCCACCTTGGAAAGGCACCACTGTTTCGGTGCGCTGTGAGAAGACCCTATTACACACGAGGTAAAACTCCGGGACGTGTTTTCTTAGCGAAGGATACACTGTTTTGGTTCCTGCGGTCGAGGCTTAAAAGTGACTTTGTACGTTAAAAAGGTGAGGCTTGGGTTGAACCGAACGCTGCCACCACGTCAGTTAGGAAGATAAGGCAAGAACCAAGGCACGACCAATTCGTGTAAGGCTTTAATCAAACTGGGATACAACTAGCGGCCGAGTAACAGTAACAATATGGCGGACGCGAGGCTACGAACAACAGATAACGCATGCTAACTCATAGTACCGCTCACCGGTACTGGCGCTCTATACATGATGATAGCGGTGCTTTCTGTATGTGAAACCATAATAACAAGCTGAAAAGGATAGATAGAATATGGCGTTAGTAGGACAGGTTGTAGATGAAGACGAGGAAGATTCGATAAGGTACTATTTTTTTCGTGGATTTCAGTATATCGAAATCAGAAACTTTCTCTCTAATTTCCATGGGAAAGAAATGAGTATTAGAACACTGAAAAGATGAATCAAGAGTTATGGTTTGAGTCGGCAGAATACGGTGAGAGATACTATAAGAGATATGCTCGATGGCCTGCAATGTTCGCCAAAGCAAGATTATTAACAGGAAACGATATGACAGCCAAAGATTTCTCCATGGCAGATATTCTTCGGCTTGTTTCCGAAACTTGACAAGGTCGTCATATTGTTTACTCAGAAAATCCAGAGGCTTCGTAGCACTGGCCTCATCACCATTGCTTGCATCATGGCTGCCAGGATGCTGCTGCTTCAAGCACTCTTTAAGTTGCTTAAGTTCTCCAAACACCGCATCTACTTTCTCCTTCAGCTTGTCATTCTCAGCTTTCAGTGATTGAACAGTTTCTTTTACCATTTTACTTCCTTATTCATAGTCTTTTGTAATAAAATTCGTTCAAGATTTCAGGGGCTCGGAAACCACGTCCGTACCATAAGAACACATGAGAACCAAAACTGAGTTCCGTTCTAAAGATAACATTAAAATATCGGGTGTGACAAAATAATAAAAAGGGAAAGGAAATGATGTGTTTCAATTTTTTCCTTGGCTAAAATAAGATTTTTTGTGTGTTGATGATGTATATGTTGTGGTTCATTTTTATCCTTGGTTTAATTTTTATTTTCTTTTGTTTTTGGGTATGGTAATATATGATGATGAAATCAAAACAAAAGAAGATATTTGAAAATTAAACCAATGATAAAATTGAACCACAACACATATGTTAATGAGATCGAAACGAAGAAAAATACATGTTTTTTGAACCAGGGATCAGATTAATACACTCTATTAAGAAAGCTAATTATCAATCAGAAAAACTTTTAAAGGAAATGGTCCCCGCTAACGTTTTGGCAAATTCCTGCAATATTTTGCGGATCTCAGTCTTTATGAATAATCAAAGTCAGAAGGGCTGGTGCAAATTGTACCCCCTAACTCACCTCTGGTCTTCCATGGCGGGTTACGGTTGGTGCATGAGTTAATGTGTTGAGTT